GTGGGGAATTGAGCCCCGATAGCAGTCTACTGTGCTTACTCAATACACAGTCACCAGGTTCAAATGCCTTCTCTCTCCACTCCTACCTCATACCCCCAGACTGGTCCTCACAGTGGATGGGTCAAGCATGTTTACCTTGCAGTGGTGTGCTCTGAACCCAGCAGGCAGAACAGCAATCCATTAGCAAGCTAACAACAGGGAGTTAATTTGCCATCAAATTGATTTGTCCAAATTATTTTCATCCCTGGCAATTTATAGTAAATGGGTCTTTTTTTTTTTCATTAGAGAAATGACCGCTGTTTTTCTTTCCCTTGGCATTTGCAGAGAGCCATTCACATTTGAAGCTAATGTTGGAACAGCAGGCTTCTACTGAAAATATTTACCTTTTCTCTGTTGGCAACCTGTCAGTGCTGGGGAAAATAGATGCTCCGTTAAAATCTAAATACACGACTCTTGCGTCTCACACATCTGTCAGGGTTTTTTTTTTTTTTTTTTTTTTTTTTTAAAAAGGGGCTCCCTGTAGCCCCAGCTGGCCTGGAACTCACTATGTAGACCAGGCTGGCCTCAAACTTACCTGCTACATCTGCCTCCCAAGTACTGGGATTAAAGGCATGTGCCACCACACCCTGCCCATCAGTCTTCTTTAAGATGAAGGACATTGTGAGAGGTGTAGGGAAATCATTCTGGTTGTATGCTTTTATGCATTTTTAGATGCCTTCTTGCATCCCATTCTTATTCAGAAATAGGCATTTCACACCTGTAGCTGGTATGAGAAGTCTTAGAATAGCAGGTTCAATGTCAACACTAGAACATCAGAATTGGTTTTGGCTGCCTATGTGACCAGTGAGGTCTTTTGCCCTGGAGAGTCTGCTGCTAAATTTAAAAGTGTAAAGAATACTGTTGCCATTTATGCAGCAGCACTGGGTACCAAGGCATATTAGTCTATTTTCCACCACTGTAAACTTGTAAAGTTTTCTTTAGCCCAGTTTTAGAGGCTGACAGCTCAAACAGCATGGTCCTGGCTCTAGCAAGGTCTTTCCTGGCTACGTCACATCATGGAAGACAGAATCACAGCAGGAGCATTTGTGAGAGGAAGAGATTGCATGATGTGACAGGAAGCTGGAAAAGTAATTCAACGGTAGTCTTTCTCTTTTAACACCCCACCCCCACTTGACAACTAAACTAGGTCTCATGAGACTTTATTTAATCCCACTTGAAGGCAGTGCATTCAGTAACCTAGCCACCTTTCTACAGGCCCCACCTCTTAAGGGCTCCACTACCTTTCAATACCGCCACACTGGGACCAAGCTTCCAACACGAACTCCAGGGATTCTCTCAAACCATGTCTAAGCCATAGTCAAGGGCCTCAGCTTCTGTCTTCAGTAGTCTTCTCAATGGCTCCAACAGGTAAATATTCTAGAAAATAGGGATTCAGAGAAGTTGAGTCCATGCTCAAAAGTCAGGTAGACCCGAGATTCTATCTTGGGACTCTCTGACCCCAGTTGTTTCTCACCTGGGTGCTGCTCTGAGTTTTGACGGGGCCATATTTTTTGTGCCACTGCACAACTAACTTCCTGGATTGGTGTGGCCCCTGGTGTCATGGCTGAGTGAGCTGGATGCCTGGGCCCAGAGTCTCTGAAACAGCTATAGAACTTAGAAGACTGGAGACTGGGAAAGAATGGTGTCTTGTGGTTACCCCAGTTCTTCTCACCCAGAGCCCCAAAAGTTTGAGAAAATACAGTGAGTCAGCATCACAGCCCTCATGGGCTGTAACTAGGGTAGCTCTGCCCAGCCAATGTAAGGAACGTTTACAGTAGATACCAACAAACCCAGGGGAGACCTGGACCTCGTATGACTAAGATCCCCAAAAGGAAATGAGCACTTAACATTATGAAAATTAAAAGCCTGTGGAGAAAGAGGTGTAGCTTAGTGATAGAATGCTTGCCTAGCATACACAAGGCCCTGGATTCAATTCCTGGCAATATATCACAAACCTCTGTTTATTCAGAGGCACCATAAACAAAATAAGAAGACAGAATACAATTATTTATTTATTTATTTTTATTTTTATTTTAATATGTATGAGTATTTTGTCTTCGTGTATGTAAGTGCACCCATGTCCTACAATGCCTACAGAGGTCAGAGAAGGCCAGAAGAGGGCATTGGATCCCCTAGAAACATTATGGATGGTTGATAGCTGCCATGTTGGTGCTGGAAAGTGAACTCGAGTCCTCTGCAAGAGCAGCCAGTGCTCTTAACTGCTGAGCCATCTCTCCAGGACAAACTGGGAGATTTTTATAATCTGAATAACCAGCAAAGGATTAATTTCTAGCACAGACAAAAGTAAACAATATGTTCTTTAAATATACATACAATTATAAAAGATAGTAGTTTTTAAAAGATAATGGAATGTATAACTCAAAATTCGAAGCAGCTTCCTCCAAGAAGCAGAATGACAAAAAGGACATGTGGGTGAGTACCCCAATAAGTCTCGTCTTGTTGTTTGTACTGGCTGGAGGGTTCATAGGTGTCCATTATTTTATAAGACTTTATAACTAGCAAGTACGTGAATATAGTCCTTCATAGATATCCTAGGCATAAAATGATACATCTTTAGTAAATAAGTAAGTAATTACTTATTGATACTATACCCAGTTTTTACAGATGGGAAAACTGAGGCAAGCTCCATGGGGTCAAGCACATTAAGTACTTCCTGTATGACAGGCACTTCTTGTTTACTTGGCAACCCCATAGAGAGGGTAACTTCCATCACTTCATTGATTAGAAAGCCAAGAGACCTCGTGCTATGAGAGAACTTCCAGTGTCACTCAGTGTCACTTCCTGGTTATAATTGGCAGCCACAGCAAGTCCCCTAGCTGTGGCACAACTGTCTGCCTGCTGGCCAGAGGCATACTGTGGTGAGGGCTCTGTGAGGGCCTCTCTTCTTAGAAGCAGGTGACAGGGTGTCTGCTTAAGTCTGGAACCATCTCTTAACCTCGGGGTGAAGTACTGCAGTCATCCTTTGGTATCCATAGAGAATATTCCTGACCCATGTAGATACCAAAATGCTTGGGCTCTGGTCTCTTACCTGAAATGATGGAGCATTCACATAGAACCTGTGCATATCTTTCTATAGACTGGAAATCATCTCAAGACAAAGCATAGTATCTAAAGCAATGTAAATACTATATATAGTGGCTGTGTATTGCTTAGGAAATAAAGACAAGAAAGAAGTCTATCCATAAATAGTATAGATACAGCTTTCTCTTTCCAAATATTTTCCAGCTGTAGTTTTGGTTGAATCTGTAGAGGTAGAATTCATGGACACAAAGAACTGACTTTACCAGCTATCATCTGTCTATCTATCTATCTATCTATCTATCTATCTGTCTGTCTGTCTGTCTGTCTGTCTGTCTGTCTGTCTGTCTGTCTGTCTATCTATCTATCTATCTTGTACCTATCTCAGTTATTTCAGAGTTTCTGTTCCAGAGGACCAACAATGATCATGATATTGCTGGATGTAGGTCTAGTATAGATGAAGTAGGGTGCCCTTCCTTGGTGAAGTGAGCCCCAGAGGAAAGGATGCCTGGGCCTGGGGTGTGTGGGGAAGATGTGCACAGCCATTAATAACCATGTCTTGAAAAAGTCTTTAATTTTACAGGGAAATGCTCTACATTTGGAAAGAAAATAAAGGTTTCAGGCAAAGAAAAGTATTAGAAGAAAGTAACTAAAATATTACCATTGGTAATTTCTCTATTCACTAAACTTTCATCAAAGAGTGTATATTATTATTAAAATCATAATGAAACTCTTCTTTTCTCTCAATGAAAGGCATGGCCATTGCACACCCAGGTCTAGGTCCAGAATACAAGGAGCTCTGGGGACTTTGTGGGAGTGTTATCTGTGGTCAGGGTCTGGGCCAGTTTATTTCTAGATTCTTGGCCTTTTGTTCAAGAATTATTCAGAGTAGGGTGTGCATATAACTTGATGCAGGTAGGGGTCCTAGGTTGCTAACAGGTTGCTGAGTGCCTTGTTGGGAGTGGGGTATGTGTGCATAGTAAATGCAGATGAGAATCCCAGGCTGCCATGTGCATGATTATTAGACAGGTGTGAGTCCCAGGTGGCTAAGCTATTTATGCTCGCTTACCTCAGGAAAGGATTGGCAAGGTTTTCTGAGCCTTAGAGAAGTTTGACTTTATGCATCTCTTGGTAGCTTGAAAGCACATGCTGGTGACTCTGGTTACCCAAGATTTCCCAAAGTGACCCCAGGAGGCATCTCACCCTCTGGGTGAGGCCCTGTTGGGAGGGCCATAGCAGCCAGGTGCAGGGTAAATGGAGGCACAGGGTTGGGAGGAAAGGCCCTGACTGGGCCACAGGTATTGGGAGAATGACCATTCCCTCTCTTCTTTTGGGATGCTCTTGAGGAAGCTGAATCTCCACCTCTAGAAACCCTCCTGAGAACATGGAGCTGAACCCAGGTGGAGCAGAAATGAGCATCTAGGTCTTCCTGATACTGGTGGGCATGGACGCTTGTCTTCCAAGTTCAACTTCATGGCATGATTTTATTGTGTTCTACAGCAGGGACAGACTCATAAGGGAAAGAGAAATAAACTCAAGCTATGCACTGCTGGCGAGTTGAAGACTCAAGTTTTGTTGCAGAAATGTGTATCATTAGATTCTAGCATAGCATCATAGGAACGGAGGGAACATGTTTCCTCTTTGGGAAGTAGCTGCTTTGCTTTCATTGAAGACACCTGTAGGAGCACCCTGCAGGTGGCCTTGTCATTTTAACTCCCTTATACCAACCACCCAGTGTAGAGAGGAGGAGCAAGTGTTCGAAACTGACATGGGAAGAGCACCTTATGGGATGCCAGTGGCGTGGTGTCTGATCTAAGACCCCAGAGGCTCTCCAGCCTTGCTGGCCTCCCAGTGGCAGGGTGACCTCAACTGTGTGCTCAGAATCCCGGATGCTGACAGAGGGCCTCCCACTGTGCTTTCAGGCATCCGAATGCTGGATGGCGACGTGACAGATGTTGTTGAGGCCAAGTCCCTGGGCATCAGACCCAACTACATTGACATTTACAGTGCCAGCTGGGGACCGGATGACGACGGGAAGACAGTGGACGGGCCTGGCCGACTGGCTAAACAGGCTTTCGAGTATGGCATTAAAAAGGTGTGAGTAACCCAGGGCTATGGGGGAGATCCAGGGTGGGTGGGGTGACAGCACACATTTTTAACACCAGAGTGACACCAGCCACAGCCTGAAACAGGACTGGCAAGGAGGCCCTGAGTGCCAGAGTGAGGGAGGAGTCCCTTAGGGACTCTGGTTTACCAGCTCAGTTGGAAAGTCTCACCTGGTCCAAAGGGAACCAGCCTGGCACCCATCTACCCTGCTCACTCTACTGGAGTCTGTGGAGGTCTGTGGAGGTAGTGGGAGGTAGCCCAGCCAGATTTCCTGACCCGGTCCTTGGACTATACAGGTGAAATACTGAGGAGCTTTCTGTCCATCAGAGGGTGTAGCTAATCCAGAGCCTCACTGCAGCAGTAGGCTTCGGATATCCCCGCCCTCACCAGCATATAGCCCAACACAGGGATGAACCACAAGGAACATTCAAGAGGCTGGGGAGACTGGCAGGCCCCTCCCAGGAGGCCACCCACCAGCCTCTCTGTGTCATCCACTGTGGATCCTCAGGGGTTGGGAAAGATGAGGTTGGGAAGACGTAGCAGGAGATCAGTCAGTTTTTACAAGCCAGGTGGCAAGACGGAGTTCCAGGTGAGGACAGTTTCTTGGAACAGTCAGATGCAACTGTGCTCGGCATCCAAGAGGCCCTGGGTGGTCCAGTAAACACCAGCACAGAGCATAGCCATGGCCAGTGGGTATAGGCTGAAGAGTGAGTGTCCAGTTGTAAGTCCTAGCATCTCTGACTTCTGTGGGAGACAGGACAGGAGAGGGTGCAGGAGTCAAGTTTATTTCATTATTGAAAACATTTTTTAAAAATTTTTATGGTATTGTAACCCATGTGTAGCCATCAAGATGCAATTAATATTAATAAATTCATCAAATACCAAAAATTACATTGAAAACAGCCTATCTGTGTCCTCTGCCTACCCTCTCCCTTACAGTCCTGCCCCAGAGAGGAATAGTCTGTGGGGTGTGTGTGTGTGTGTGTGTGTGTGTGTGTGTATGTGTGTGTGTGTGTTGCGCTTAGAGACTAGAGGTCAGCATCAGGTGTTTTCTTCAGTCACTCTCCACTTTTTGTTTATTTGTTTATTTTAGAAATACGGTCTCCCTGTAGCCCCAGCTGGCCTGGAACATGCTACGTAGGCAAGGTATCACAGAGATTTGCTTACCTCTGCTGCCATGCCTGGCAACTTTCAGAATTTTTATTTTTATTTATTTTAATTTTTTTCCACCTTATTTTTTTTGAAACATGTCTCTCACTGACACTGGAGCTTCCTGATTGGCTAGACTAGCTGGCCAGGAAACCCCATGAATCCTTTTTTCTCTACCTCCACTACACTGGGATTTTAGTAGCAGGGCCCTGTGCCAGTTTTTTGGCTTTTATTTTTGTTTTTTAATATTTTATTTATTTTATTTTTGTTTTTTATGTGTATGAATGTATCGCCTGCATGTGTGTATGTGCACCCATGTCATGCAGTACCAGTGGAGGTCAGAAGAAGGTGTCATATCCCCTGGAACTAGAGTTACAGACAGTTATTAGTCACCATGTGGTGCTGGGAATCGAACCTGGGTCCTCTGCAAGAGCAGTCAATGCTCTTAACCATTGAGCCATCTCTCCATCCCTGTTTTTATTTTTTCAACATGATGCTGGGGATCAAACTCCAGTCCTCTTGTTTGTGTGGCAAGTATTTTACCAACTAAGTCTTTCCCCCAGCCCCAATCTTTTTGTTAACTTATTTTAATTTTATGTGCATGAATGTTTTGCTTACATGTTTTGTATGTGCACTGTATGAGTGCAGTGCCTTCAGAGGCCAGAAGAGGGTATCAGAATCCCTGAAACTGGAGTTACAGATGGTTGTGAGCCACCATGTGGGTGCTGGGCCCTGAATCCAGGTCCTCTGCAAGAGCAGTAAATATTCTTAACTGCTGATTCATCTCTCCAGTCCACCTCCCATCTTTTAAAAACTCTATTCCCAATTTCCTTTTTTTCTAAGTATGATTTGATTTCTTTTCCAGATGTACTGAGTTGGTCACTGTGTGTTGTCTCTTCTACGACAACAAGAATTTTTGTCTTAGAGAACATCCAACCTTGCCATCTTGCACCATGCCGAATCCCTGTAGTTCCTCCATTTCTTTACACTTCCTGGCTAGGGGGCTGCACTTGTTTTGACTTCCTGCCAGGCACACATACACCCACAGTACAAGGGAAGGCATTCTCCTTCAGTGTCTTTTCACATGCTCACTCAAAGCTGCAATGCCTCAAAAACCAGTGACCAGAAATAGGGGATATTCAGTCTGTCAGTGACCAGAAATAGGGGGTATTTGGTCTGTCAGTGACCAGAAATAGGGGGTATTTGGTCTGTCAGTGACCAGAAATAGGGGGTATTCAGTCTGTCAGAGGAAGAAAAGTAAGAGGGGCAGAGGGACACAGCATGTCCATAGCATATGACCTCGTGCTCAGACTGGGAACACTGACCCTTTTATCTCTACAACTCCAAGAGGACACAAAGCAGCTTCCATTAGTGTACTGAGCACCTGAGCTGAGCCACGTACTAGGCCGTGTGCTGGGCCATGTGCTGGGCCTGGGGAGTGCTGGCAGATTCAAGCATGACCAAGTCAGCCGCTGCTCCCAAGGGAATGTTGAATAAATAAATCACTTGTTTCCATGACTCAATTCCCCCTCCTATCCCTTAGATCACTCGGCTCTCAGACTTGATGACAAGTGAAACACTCTAAAAATTAAACTGCCTTTCAGCTTCAGAGAGGGTGACTGAAGTTAGAGGGTGCGTTCTGTACACAAAGGCATCACTTTGAATGATGTTAGCGCTGAGCATCTGGCATTTCTGTGAGATGCTTTCTAAAGGCTCTGAGGACCTGCTTCCAGGAGAGGAGATGCTTATTTTCAAGGGATGTTTGCATCTTCTGTTTAGTTTTGTGTACACAGAGCTTATGCAAGTTGGAGCGCCAGAGAATAGATCTTTGCATTCTTAATTCTGAGCAGCAGGAGTTTCATCGAGTTGTCAAGGGAACAGGGACTTGTAGAAGGAACCACGTGGCTCCCCCGCCCCATTCTTGTCATGGTTTCTTAAAATACAGAGGTTGTTTAATTTTTTTAGTCATTCTGATGTCGAATATGTCATTCAGGGACCCTAAATCGCAGCTGACTGAAGCTGTCATGAAAAATCCTCCTAGAAATTTGATGATCAAACCAAATCACATTTCCCCATCTGTTATTCCTCTGTGCCACCCCATTTGTCACCTATGGTCTTTTTCTGTAAGATGTGACTTCATCTTTGGTAGATGATGTGGTTGGGTGGCAGGAGACTTTAGTAGGCATTACTGGGCACGGGGATCAGTTCAATGTCTGTCCTGATGAAGCCTCACTCCTCACCTGACTTTTCATTCAGAAGTGACTAAGAACACTCACTGGCCTTGTCCAGATGCCCAGAGTTTGCCAGCCCTCAGGAGTGGGGCTTCTGAGCCACAGTAGTCCCCACCTCTAGGGAGGATACTTCTGAAATGCAGTTTGATCGAATTCAAGTATGGCCTTCCTGAATAGAAATGCAAATGGCTAGGCTGGAACATCTCCTCTAGCTTCTGTCCTGTGCAGGTTGAAGATGTGAAGAGAGAAAATAAAACCCTTGGGGACAGCTAAACCCTCTTCACAACTTGGATCTGGCTGTTCTCTCTGCCTCCTTCCCTGTTCTCTCCCTCAGAAACCAGGTTAAGAAGAGAAAGAGGTGGTTGATAAGTGTTGTACTTGTGGAAGGTAATTGATCCAGCAAGAAATGGGTGGAAAAATTAGGGCCAGCAGCACTGGTGTCACCTGAGAGCTCCATAGGCAGGCAGTCTCAGCCTCACTTGCTATAGTTTAGATTTGGGATGTTCCCCAAATACCCATGTATAAAAGACTTAGTCCCCAACATGGTGCTACTGGGAGGTGGTAGAACCTTTAAAAGGTGGGGCCTAGCAAGAGGTTTTCAGGTCAGTGTGGTTATGCCTTGAAAGGAGATATGAAACCCAGGCCCTCTTTTCTCTCTTTCATTCTATCATGTGGTAAATTGGCCTCCTCTGTCCCAAGTTCCTACTGTGAAATGTTACCAAAGGCCAAACCAATGGGGCCTGTCAGTGACTGGTTTAAACTTCCAAAACTGTGAGCCCAAATAAACTTTTTTTTTTTCTCTATAAGTTGGTTTATCTCAGGTGTTACAGTGATGGAAAGCTAACTAACATACCACCCCAGACCTGCTGGGTCTGAGGACATTTTATAACAAGAGGGACTGAGGTGCAGCACGTTCAAATTCAGGGAGCACTGTTTTGAGCTGTCCTTTGGGCTTCGGAACAGTAAGATTGTTTCACTTTGCAAAATGACAACGTTTAATGAATAGTTTTGAGTAGGGAGTAGGGGTAGAGAGTTGAGGATGACCATGTTTTAGGGATGATTCTCATATGGAATAGCTAGGCTTTGGTGGGCTAAATGCCTTTTTATTTGTCTTTTAGTCACTTCAAACTGGCTTCTGATTCATCTTTTCCAATAGGTAATTATGGTTTTGCTTTACTTAATAATGGAGACATGATCTTAAGCCATCATTAGATGATTTCGGCATTATGTGAACATAATAGAATAGTTACACAAACTTAGATAGAACAGTAGCCTATACTCCTAGCTTCCATACACGTAGGTGGTATGGGACCTTCTTCACAGGGTCCTGCCTGTGCTCCATCATTGATTGAAGCATCCTCTTGTACAGCATGACCATAATCACACAGACATGCCATTCCTTATTTTGTGCCTTTCTTCCAGAAGTTAGCCTTTTTGCTAAGTGTAGTAAGTATGGTGAGCTCTTGGCCATTCAGACAAGCCCACCTTGGATATGCCAAAAGCAGAGTGAATGAGGCAGCCTGAAGCAGCAGGGCTGGAGAGCACCAGGAACCTCCCTGTGGTCTCTGTTGGAAGCCTCAGCCTGGAGCTAGAGTCCCCTTGGTCTGCAAAGTGGGGTTTGCTTTTGTACACTCTACCAAGGAAGAACTTGAATTCTGAAAGGGCATAATGCACCAGAATGTAGAATCTGATTAAAAGCTATCTTTAAATTGACCCATTGCTAAGATTCGGTGTCAGTTCCCTCCCTGTGCTTGTAAGGGAGGACCTCAGTTCTCAAGAGTCCAGGGGGCCCAGTTCATGTTGGGCACCATCAGTGGGTCCAGCTGTTGGGAGTGACTCAGTGTAGTCTTCTATGAGCTAATCATTAACTAGTGTCTGTGGCTAGAATGACCCTCAGTTTGGTCAGAACTCATTGATCCCATGGGTGCAGGGTAGAAAAGAGGGTCAGGAACCTGCCTGACCTGCCACTGTCACAGGTTTTTTTCTTTCATGTTCTTAACAATAAACAAGTGAAGTCACCAGCCTGGGCTGGTGTTGACATCTGACTTGACTGCTCCAGCACTTAACCACTCATCCATGACAGGTATCCCAGGGAACTCTAATCAGACTCCTGTAGGCAGATACCTACAGGGGGTGTCTGGATCCTAGCCTTGTCACCATCTCACTTTTCACCCCTCTTTGAAAAATTAGCTTGCTCGCCAAGAAGGTGATCTCTGCAACTGTGTTTCTGGGAAAATTCCTCTTCCCTCCCATTTTCCAAACAGCTCTTTTAACCCACAAAACTTAAAAGTTCCAAATTCTGCTATTGTCCATCTATAATCTTGGTCCCTTTGATCCTCAGCTACCATAATGAAAATTAAACGTGGTGCTCTGAACTGGAGCAGCTAGTGTCAGGGTCTGGATTTTCCTGTGAAGAACAAAGGGGTCTTTTGACTCTTCCTCCCTAACAGGCTCCTATGATTATGCAGTTTTAAGTTTATTGACACAGGTAAAATAGTGCCATTGAAATATAAATGGAGCTCCTGGGTGGTACCTGAGTGGTCTCAGTATATCTTTAGAGTCCCTGTGGAGAAACAGCCAGAAGATAGGATTGTAGCCCTCTTGTGAGGCCCTCCCAACAGGGTCCCACCACAGTGGCTGATGGCTGCTTCTGCTTGCTTCCTCCTAGGGCCGGCAAGGTCTGGGCTCCATTTTCGTCTGGGCCTCTGGAAATGGTGGGAGAGAGGGGGACCACTGCTCTTGTGATGGCTACACCAACAGCATCTACACCATCTCTGTGAGCAGCACCACTGAGAATGGCCACAAGCCCTGGTACCTGGAGGAGTGTGCCTCTACCCTGGCCACCACCTACAGCAGCGGGGCCTTCTATGAACGGAAGATCGTAAGTTCTCTTGGCAGGTTGGATGACATGTTTTTTTCTAAGGGCACTGAGTTGGATCTGAGGTCCCAGCATCAACCCCCCATGAACTAGCTGAGCCTGAGGTCAATCCCAATGCCTTGGCAGCCTGCCTCATCACCAGCTTTACTCATCTGTGGCCAGAAATGCCAATTAAATGCTCTCAGACTTTAGAGATCTAAAAATGTCACTTAAGAATGGGGTTCATCCTCATCGTGTCTCCTTTTAGTTCTCTGGAATCCTGTGGTCTCATCAGGCAGAGTTCAGTTGGCCAGCCCTATTCAGAAGAGTGAAATAGAAAGTCTTGGTTTTATGCTGAAACATTCTGGAAACAAAGCATTCTAGGTGTCTCTTCTACTGAAGGCTGTGTCCTGGACACTTGGAAGCAGAGCAGTGCCTTTTGTCTGCTCTACGTACTGCAGCGAACAAAAGTGATTTTTCTTTTCCTCTTTGAAGTACTTCGAACCTACATTAGGCAGGGGCTGTACCACTGTACCACATTCCAGCCTCTGATTTATCTTTCAAATGGTAACTGTTTTATTACATGAATGGAATTTGCTTCTTCCTCCCTTACATACCTCCCTACATTAAAAAAGAAAAAAGGACAGAAAGAAAGAGGAGAGAGAGAGAGAGAGAGAGAGAGAGAGAGAGAGAGAGAAAGGATGGTTTCCAGTCCAAATTAATGCAGAATTCAAATGCATAGTCATTAAGTTAGTTTGTAGACACTTTAAAAGTGAGACTGTAGTGCTGGCCAAACATGGTTAATTTTAAAGCTCACTGGCTGGCATCTTTCCATTTCTCCTGCTGTTTAGTCACATCTTTAGAAATTATTTTCAAATTCATTTTTACATTTTTCTGAGGGAGTACACAGGCTTCCTGTTCTCTGTTTGCTGTGCACCCATGGAAGATCAGCCCCCATCATCCCACCACCAGCCTGGCAGTGATCCAGTTCACAAAGGTGTTAATTTGAGTCATTACTTTCTCTTCCTGCAAGAGTGCTCAGGCCCAGAATGGGTAGCTGAGACTCTGAACCACGTCCTGTTCATTTACACTTCCGCCTCACTTGAGCACGGACTTCCTGAAACCTTATTAAACAGATGCTTGGACTGAAACCCAGCAAAGGCCTGCTGACTGTGTGGGTGCAAGTTGAGGCTGACATTATTGGACACATTGTGCCAGGGGCTATGTGCTGGGAGAATGGTGGCACTCAACTCTGGAAGCTGGGATTGCAGCTTTATTTGCTTACTTAATCATGCCAACATGTGCTTGCATGTGTACACATCTTAGTTATGAAAAATACTTTATTCCCTTCCCATTTTTTGAGATGTCTCGCCTTGAACTCACTATATAGCAGAGACTGCCCTTGAAGTCCTGATTTTCCTGTCTTCACCTTCCAAATTCTGGGATATAGGCATGTACCACTATGCCCAACTTTAATGCCATCTTTAAACAAAATTCCCTCCTCTGAGCATAGTATATGGGAAAGAAAGATACTTTGGAGAAGAGAAAAGAGAAAATGTAGTGTCAGAGTTGCTGTCGTGGAACTCTGCTCTGATGGCATGGGTGGCATTTTTGTCTGCTTACTGGAGCCCAGTTTTTGCCTTGAGGCCTCTTAGATGTCCTGCAAGGGGCTAAGTGAGCTCTCTAGGCAGTGTCTCAGTCTTGAGTCCAGGTGGGCTCTAGAGGCAGCCAAAGCTTGGTTCCCATGTGTCCTTCCTCCTCAGCCAGTGAATGCCCAGCAGCATCCACCATAGTGAGCGATGCCCTGTGTAGAGACCTGACTCTTGATCAGAGAAGTAGAACCTAAAGTGAGTCTCTGTGACCTGAAGACAAGGGCCAGTTAATTCGTGAACATGAGCGGAGTTCCAAGCATGCCACTAGGACTCAGGAGTGTGCTGCCCTGTTCAGCCATCTCTCTCATGGGAAGTCCCTCAGTTCGCTCCCAGAATCCTCTTCTCTGAAGCCAAAGAGCCCACCTTGGGCCTTGCTTTCTCTCAGTTGCTGGGCTTCCAGCCCATTTACAAAGCATGAGTGTCTATAGGTACCCCTCTGTAGTCTGTGCAGAAGCCATGGAAGGGTGTGCTATGTGCCATTTGCACATGGAAGAGGGGGACACAGAAGTTGCTGCTTTGGTTGGTCTCGTTCCTTTCCTCAGGTTGAAGTCCCTTGGCCCTGATGAATGGGCATAGAGGAAGTTGGTTTCTGCTAAGGTCCCTGTCAGATTCTCCCATACACATGTGATACATGCCAGATACCCCTCCCCTGGGGAATTGTCAGCCCAGATGAAGCATGACCAGAGAAATATGCTCTGTGTGGAAAGATATGATTGTTACTGCTGGAGAAATTCTTCCTCAGGGGTTACATAGAAGGGCTGCTGGAGCCTGAGCTTTCCTGTTGCTATCATAACAAGTTCAAGTTATCACAAACTTAGAACAGCATCTTAAAGCAGTACAAATGGATACCTTGTAGGTCAGCAATCCAGCAACCTCAACTGGCTGTCTACTCTGAGTCCCACAGGCTGAAGTCAGGTATCAGAAGGACCCTTTTACTTTCTGACTGCTCTCGGGGGGATCCTTGCTCATTCAGACTGTGGGTGGAATTCAGCTCCCTTTCGTTATATGACTGAAGTCTCCACTTTCTTATGGGGTGTTGGATGAAGGGTACTCTCATTTCTAGAGCCTCCCTCCCCTGGCACCCCTGGTCTGTTTCCCTGGCTCCCCCTTCAAAGCCAGCCATGATGGCTGAAGTCTTATCATACCCCACCTCTCCAACAGATTTTGCTGCCTTCCTCTTCCACTTTTAAAGCCTTCTGATTCTATCACGCCCAACTGGATAATTCAGGATAATTTCTCTGATTGAAGGTTAGCAACCTTAATTCTATCTGCAGAGTGCTTGGGATTAAAACTAGGAGCAAAATCATAGGGCCATGATCCCGTCCAGCACAACTGGACTCACATGCTGAGCCCATGACTTCTCCTGTTGCCTCCAAGGGGAGGCCTGTGTCCGGCCGAGCAGTTGTGAGGTCTTGAGTCAGTATCCCACCCTCCTGGAGTCATTATCTCAGATGAGGGCAGGCAGAGCCCCAGCAGGCAGAGCCAGCCTCATCATCCTGAGAAAAACAGCAGCCTCACTGTCCCACTTAGCAGTCTTGTGATGTCAAGAACACTTCAGGATTATCTTGGGTGGGCTGTCCAGGCAGAGACCCCAACTCACAACTGTGAAGCTAAAGTTAGAAACACCATCTGGGCTGCTGAGAACCTCATGAACAGCAGTTTTCAGCTGCCCTGAAGCCCTGGGTAACCAAACTGAGGTCTGTACATTAGTGGCAAGAGCATAGTGCCAAGACTCAAGAAGAAGGGCCTGCAGGGGCCCTCCATTTCATCTTGCATTACCTGCTTCTCTGCACACACTTCTGTGGTATTCAGGGACAAGCTGAGCTGATTTTTAGCAAAGCTCCTAGATTCTTATCTTTCCCCGCCTCATGCCCTGTTCACACTCTGAGATGAGCCTGTTCCTGCAGCAGGCCTGCAGTTTTGTACCTGAGCACAAAGCTGTTCAACAGAAGAGCCAGACAGTGCATTTGCCTCATGTCTTTTCTGCATCAGGCACCCAAGGTCACTCGCTCCAGTGGGAGCATGCTGAGGGGTCTCGATTCTCTCAAGGTGAGTCAGCCTTTCCACCTCTCTGCTTCACACACCTCCATCTCTCCCAGGTCACCACTGATCTGCGGCAGCGCTGCACTGATGGCCATACTGGGACCTCCGTCTCGGCCCCCATGGTGGCAGGCATCATTGCCTTGGCCCTAGAAGCAAAGTAAGTTTCACTTTTCTTCTTTTCCTTTTGAGGAAGTGTTTGTAAGCTGGTGAAACACGCCTAACATCAGACCTATCCCTGTGAGCAATTGTGGAGTCAGAACAAACTTAAACACCAACTGTCACAGAACAACCCAGACATTTGCAGGAGTTACTTGTAGATGAGTTTTTAAATGATTCAGTAAGAATGTTTGGGATGAGCTGGGCCTGGTGGTGCATGCCTTTAATCCCAGCACTTGGGAAGCAGAGGTAGGTGGATCTCTGTGAGTTCAAGGCCAGCCTGGTCTACATAGCGAGTTCCAGGACAGCTGGGGCTACAGGGAGACCCTGTCTCAAAAAGACCTAAAAAAAAAAAAAATGTTTGGGATGTGCAAATCCTTGTAATTATGCATGCTTGCATGTGGATTTCCACATAGCTAAAGACCACAATATTCATATGCTACAATTTAACAAAAAGAGCTAAATATTTTCAGTTTTCAGGCAAAAATGTTAGCTTCTGTGTCCTGAGACTCTTTTAAGAAATGTCTCAATAATTAGTTACTGGTGTGGAAAGCTGCATTGTCATAGTTAGCAAGTCATCACTCTCTAGTTTCCTCCATTCCTTATTGGAAACATGCTAGGAATTTTGTTAGTCAAAGCTGAACAGAAAACAGGCCGTGCTTCATGACTGGTGGTCCCATTAAGCTTGCCTGTGCACCCATGAAAAATAAAGACCAGTCATCTTCCCGTCTTTGTGTCTCCCCCTCAGAAGTTTACAAGTACAAGTGAAGCATTTAAAAGAGCACTTAGAACTTTCTACACTGTTAGGATTGGTCAAGGAAGGAGCAAAAGGTGTCCAGGGACCCGGGCTTGGAGACTGAGCTGTCCAGCAGGCCCAGGCAGCAGGGCCCCAGCATTGCCTTCTTTCTGCATTCACTGTCACTAAAAAGGCAACCAGGACAAAGCAGAGGGTCCTAGAGGAAGACACTCGCAGTGGGGAGGGGAGGACCTGTGGACGGCATGGGATAAGAATGAAAAAGAGGCAGTGTAAGAATTTTTCTCCATAGTTTGGTGCAGTCTTAGGATTTCCCATCCAGCCCTTTTGATGGAAAAACATTTTTGGACAAGGACTATAGCTCAGTGGTAGAGTGCTTGCCTAGCATGAAGTCCTGAGTTCAATCTCTAGCAAAAGAAAGGAAGGGAGGGACAGAGGGAAGGAAGGGAGGGAGGGAGGGTGGGCGCTCAGCAGCAAATCAGCCCATCTCTGTGCCTCCCTGCCACTCAAAAATGATCCTTACAGAAATGGAACAAAGTGTCCCTAAGCCAGAAGAGGAGGATGCACAGAAGGAAAAGCTATCCCAGAAGAAATAAAAGTGCATGGCATGGGAAGAAATTAAGCATAAAATAAATGCAAATACAAGGATAAAGGCAAAGAATGGTTTCTAACTCTCTCCCCTTCTGGACATAATGTATCTCCATTTCTGGGGCTTATGCTTCCTGGTACCTTAGTGCTAAAGCTCCAGGAAGACTTGCTTCAGCATCCTTGTGTAGGCCCCACTGACATGCAGCAATAGTTGCCGCATCTGGGCTGCAGCTACATCAGCTCTGTCTGAACTCCAAAGACTGAGGCAGTGACTACTCTACCAGGATACATATCCTGCAGCTACTTGGGTCCACAGAATCTTCTTAAGGTTGGCCTGTGGAGCTTCATGAGGGAATAGGCAGAGGACAAGGAGAGGGTGGCAGGTCAGCCTGTGCCAGGTGGATGTCTGGAGACTGGATAGATGGATGTGGTGAGGGAGCAAAGGGGGCAGTGACCAGCAGGCAGAGAGCACAGGAGAAGAATCAGGGGAGACTGGAGCTGAAGGCTGAATTATGAACCCATGGGAAGAGTGTTTCTAAGACTCAGCATGAGCTGAGCTCCTCATAGGAAGGCCAGTAGCATGGGAGCCAATGGTGCAAAGTGGTTGGAGCAGCCACTGTGGAAAACTGTCGCAGCGCCCCCACCCCCTGATTAAACACAGATTTTTGGAATGAACCAGCAACCTCGCTTCTGAGTATAAACTCAGAAGAACTGAGAAAAGAATCTGGACAGTTATTTATACACCCATGTTCACAGCAGCATCATTTACAGCAGCTGAAAGACAAAACCAACCAAGTGTCTGTAGGTGGATGATTTGCTAAGCAAAATGTGATCTCTGAGTGCAGTGGAATAGTATTCAGTATCAAAAAGGAAGGAAATTCTGACACGTCTTATAATAGGAATGAATCTTGAAGACATTATCCTAAGTGAATAAGACAAATACTCCATTATTGTGCTGGTAAGAGATACCTTAACAATCAAATTCTTAGGACCACAAAGAAGAGTGGGGGTCACCAAGGACTGGGGAAGTGGGAATAGAGAGTTGGGTGTTTAATGGATAGATTGACAGTTTGAGGAGATAAGGCTGTGGGTAGTTTTGGATGATAGTGATGGTTGTCCAACAAGGTGAATGTACCTAATACCACTGAACTGTATACTTAATAAAAATGATAAATTTCACATCATGGATATTTTAGCATGCACATACATACATAGTAGTGACTTGAAAAATGGTTGTGCTGTGGGTTCTCCCTCCAGGATGCACTTGTGTCCCACAGTCATGGGTCATATCTGCTATAGGAGCACACATGGCACAGGCATGCATTCATAGCAAAAAGAGGTGCATTAGGCTCCTGGGACAGCCCTGACCAACCTATTCATCTTTATTTCAACAAGTCCTGAAAAGGTAATATGGAAAGAAAGTAGTTTTTGAGGGGGATATTA